CCTCAAAAATAAAAAAAGAGAAAGAAAAGAGAAACGAAAAAGAGGTAATAAAATGGGGTAAATAAAGTAGAGAGTGCCACGAAAAACCAAAGTACATGCTCTAGGAAGGGGTTTCTTGGCACCCAAGCCATCGAAACCCCCACATTGTTTAGAACTCCTTTACTACCAAACCTTAAAGAACTAGCAAGAGTTTACCGAGGACGAGTGCTTCAAGGTAGTTCATGATTGGTGATAGTTGGAAGGGAGAGATAAGGGTTTTGGCCAATGCTAGTGGCCTTTGATTGAAGAGAAGAGTTTTAGTCGAAACCATAGACCCTTCGGGTTTAGGTTGAAGATGTAGAACCTCACGTCATGATTGCCACCACCCAAAAAGCCTTTTCCCCATGTCCAAGCCAATCGCCAGTCATATGAACCCGTGTCTAAGACCTCCGGACGAGCTAGTAGTGACAACCATCCCGTGAACTCTAGCATTTAGAGATTACCGCCGTGGTATTGATACGATCGGGACGAGAGGTTACGATTGTGCACATCTTTTGCACCAAAAAGGTCCCGAACCCAATGGTCTTGAGAGTGAGCGATTCATTCTTGCTTTGCATGTCATATACTACCGTGTGCGTGAAATGGTTTGCTTGGGGACAAGAAAACGTCTAAGTGTGGGGGAGTGATTCAGGATTTGCGTAGATTTTTCTAACAAATTCGCTCATTAAAGGTTGGTTTTAAGCGCGGTTCTTCGTGTTTGAGTGCTTTTCAGGATTTAACAGGTGGAACCCGCCTCGAAGTCGAAAGATTGGCGAAAAGGATAAAAAACTGGGAGAAGAGGTGAAAAAGCGCCAGTTCACGGCTAAAGGCAGGAGTTCACGGTCGTGCAAGACCATGAAGAAGGAGGTTTGACCGTGAATCGCAAGGTTTCTTGAGCCAATGTGAAGGTTACTGACACAATGTGAGTTCACGGTCACTAAGACCATGAACACAAGCAGTTGCCCGTGAACTTCTATGAGCGATGCGGAGCATTTTGGCGCACGGCGTGAGTTCACGGACTCGTTTGATGGTTCACGGTCGTGAACGCAGCCCTTCTCGTGTTTAAAAGCTGGTCTGCTAGGAGTAGAGAGGGGGGAGCCACTTTTGTGAGAGAAACACCTTCTTCAGCATTCTAGTGAGAGAAGCAGAACCAAAAGAGAAGAAGAGGTTAGGGCTTTGCTTCAAAGGAGATTTTGGGAAGATTTCCCCAAGGAAATCCCTGCTTAAAGGTTGAAGAAGAGAGGAGGCATCCCCAAAAGATGGTTTCCACCTTTTTCCCTTTTGTTCTTCCCACTTCTTCCATGGAGTAGTCCTCCTTTCACTCGGGTGTAGTGAAACCCTAACTCTACCATGTAGTTTTCTTGTATGTGGTTTGGATTATTGATATTGGGTATTGTTAAATATAATGTTTGAGGCATTAGTCACCATGATTTTGCATACTTGTGCTTAGCAACTTAGGGGCTGTGCATATGTTGTGCTTAGCATCCTAGGGATTGTGCATAATCGTGCTTAGCACCACTAAGTTTGTGCATTTAGGTGCTAGTAATCTAATTTGTCAACTTGGCCTAGTTTAGAGAGGAAAATCCCCCTTTTCAAAGGAGACTCAATCGAGTTTCTTTTCCTTCCGCTTTCCAAGCCACCTGAACTAGGTTGAGTTAGGGCAACCCTCAATATTGAATTGAACAAGTCGATTAATCGTGGTTTAACCGTCCGACCTTAGAGTTGAGTGAGGGAGTAAGTCGATTACTAATTGTCTAAACTGAGAGGGTCGAGTGACACAACCTTTCATCCTCACCTCGGTTTAGCAATTGAGACTGTGGTCTCCGACCACATACACATTCCTCTGCGGTTCACGATTAACGTGCTCAAGGCAATCTTTCCAACCCACGTAGCATGGTAGGGGTTATGGGGAAGCGAAACCCAAGTGACTTTCCCACAAAAGAGTTTTCAAACCAAAGTACCTTTGCTTCTTTCATTTCAATTGGCAAACCTTTAAACCAAAGGTTTATCGCTAGATAATGATTTCAATAACCGAAGTAGGGGTAGACGGACCGGCCTGGGCCGATGTATAAATACTTTCCCTATACTGCACCCGATTATAGTTTAAAAACTTGGGCTCTAATTGGGGTTTAATTGTGGTGTAATTTCGAGCGAGTCAACGTACCAAACAATATGGGAGATGAGAAACTCAATCAAGTGACATATGATCATGGCCCGCGCCTCAACTAGTAAATGCCATGAAGAATCTACAATGGGTGAATGCTAATAATCACGGCCCGCGCATCGACTAGTTAACGCCATGAAGAATCTACAATGGGTGAGGGCTAATAATGCCCTCACCAAGCGCTCAACGTGTTGAATACTCCGAACTGAGTGTACAAAAACCCTAATGAGGAGAGCGCACGACGCCTTGAATAAATCTACAACACGGGAGTGCTCAACTCCTTGAATACTCCGAACCGAGGGTACAAAAACTATGACGAGGAGAGCGCACGACGCCTTGAAAAAATCTACAATATGAGAGCTCTCAACCACCTCCGTTCATGTAAAACTCAATAGTAAGCATACAAATAAGACTTCGATAAGAACATTGGTGAATCTACAATATGGCAGCGCTCGACTACCTCCGTTCATGTAAGACTCAATAGTAAGCACACAAATAAGACTTCAATAAGAGCATTGGTGAATATACAATATTGAAGCGCTCGACTACCTCCATTCATGTAAGACTCGACTGAAGCACACAAATAAGACTTCGATAAGAGCATTGATATATCTCCAATATGAGAGTGTTCAACTACCTCTAACTCCAATAAAGGGCACTAAACGTGCGCGGTAACCCTGTAACATAATCATGTGGCAATCACGAGTGCACCAATCAAAGAAGTCACACTTGTGTGCGCTTGAAGAACTCTAATGGAGAGTGCCCAATGCCTTAGAGAATCTCCAACAAGCTATTGCACGGTGTCATGAAGAATTCCAACAGAAAATCGCTCAACGACTTGAAGAATGTCCAATGATAGAGTACATACTAAATGCCTTAATGAATTCCACCAACTGGTGGGGGGCGGGGCAAATTCCATGAAGCTGGCACCACATTAGCTAAAAGAGCCACCAGCTGGGGGAAACTAGGGGTATATAGGGCTACATAAAAAATGATTGGCGAACTTTTTTCAAAAAAATTAAGTTGGAGGTGAGTTAAAACTCACCACTTAGTTTGGGGGGCAATTATTGGGGTGTTACTAAATCTACCACGAACAGACTAAGTACTAAGGCACCGGATAAAGGTGTTACCAGCGATGCAAACCAGGAAGGTTGACGCTTGATGCTCGCCACAAGTATATAAGGGCATTAAGTCCTCCAAGAAAGGGGCAAAACTTCTCCTCCCTCACTTTCTATTTTGAATCTCTCTCTACACTTTATCTCTCTACATTATTCTCTCAACTCATTCTGCACAATATACTGAGGGGTCGTTTGGATGGTACAATTGTGTAATGAGTCAATTGGGGAGAATGACTCATTTACAATTGCTCCACGTTTGATGTTGATACATTTTGTGCACATTGCCTTGTTTGGTTCACTCATTGATAGTTAGTCAATTGTTTTTTGGCTTATTAGAGAGGGGTGAGTAAAATCCAAAATTACCCTTCATTTATCCCCTTCTTTTACACCTACAATCTCCACCAAACCCCCTCCATTACTTTCCCTTCTCTCATTCTCTCCCCAATACCCTAAAGCAGAAGAACGAAGGTAGCAGACAACCTCCACTTCCCAACGTTGGTCTCCACCTCACTGGCACCTACAAGATGTTCTCGTTTCTTAAATGAGTTATGGATTCTTCTCCGACTATTCGATGGAGGAAGGGGTATACTGCAAGTGTAAACTGAACGTCGTTGTACGAACTTCCAGAACTTCCAAGAATCCTAATTGCAAATTCTGATCATGCTCTCGTTACCAATCAAAGGTCTAAGGTGATGTATATATATAGTCGTGGATTCCCCCTTGTTCGGTTGGTTGTTTCAATAAGTGGATTCATGTTTCACAACTTTCTAATTTAATATGTAACTTGATTTGTGTACAGAGAAAACTCGGTTGTGGCTTCTTCGATTGGTGCGATGTCCGAGCTGTGGAAAACAGGGAACAAAGGCTTTTGAATTTGATTGCCAATTTGCAAAGCAAAGCCTGTGATGTTCAAGAAGAGAATGGGAGGCTTTCTAAGTTGTTGGCTTTAGCTCCTACTTGTGACCACCACGGTGATAATGCGCCACTAAAGAGCTGCAAGTGGTGAAACAAAGATTGCTTACAGTGGAGAGAAAGCTTTAGTTGGGATAGATTTAGTGGAGGAAGTTATCTAAGTTGTGTACTTATTTGGATTTATGAAGCATATATTTTGTGATGGTAATCTGAGTTGGACCAGTTGTCTTTTATTTTTATCAGATGCAGAGTTATGATGTAACTGGGAGAAGCTAGAACTTCTAATTCTTGTGCATAAAAGGCAGAGTTATGATTTAACTTGAGATCTTTACTGTGCTTGTATACCTAAGTGTTAATTATATTTGAACATGATGTGTTCTGTTTCTGTTAATGTTAGTCTTCTAAATATGATGTCAGTATAACCTACTATCAATCTCAAAACAGTAAGCAAAGGCAGCAGGAGAAAATTGCAGCAGCTGCATAGTGAACAACAATTAATAAGTTCAACAATCCATTAACATCTGCTACAGTTTAACACTACCATACACGCTTTACAAACTACCTGCCTATCAAATGTAATTGTCTACGTCGAAGTTGAAGCTTATAATTAGCAACACTCAACTTTACAAAATAGTAGGCTGTCTAAGTTTGCAAAGACTGTCACTGCTTGTGTTATACAATGACAGACAAAAGAACAACATCCTCATTGCAAACCAACAGCTGCTAAATAAGAACCATAGACAAAATAAACCACACCTAATTTCTAACTAAGATAACGACCCCTTTGTTCATTTGCTCAGGAGCTCGAGCACAAGGGTCAGCTTGTCTTCTTCCTTCTCAAGGTCATAGAAGACCTTCAAGTGTCCTGGACAGTCTGATAACTTCATAACTGCAAGGATCACCTGTGATCTAGTCAGTCCACCTATCTTTTCCAAGTTCTTCAACAGATCTCTACGCATCACAGTGTACTCCGCACTTTCTCCTAAAGCCCTAGCAATGGTGTCAGCTGACTCCTTGATGAGTGGTCTCAGTCCTCCCAGTTCTTCAGCTACCTCAACACTGCTCTCATTTGCAGCACTATTCTTCTTCTTTTTCTTTTTATGAGATGGACCTGCTTCAGAAGTTGGTGGCCGCTTCTTGTTGATGCGAGCTTCCACTGCATCATCAATGATGTTCAGCATCGCTTCATCCACTGCCGGGCTGTTCATCTGGTCAAGTGGGTAAGGAGGAGAGTCATCATCCGATTTGCTATCTCCACCTTCCGATATGTATGGATCAGCCCCTGAAAATCCAGTTTCACCAGTTGCACGCCCTTTGCCAAAGACCTTACCTAGGTCAAAGAATTGCAGGAAGGGGACATGCTTATACAGTTTGCAATCAGCATGTGACTGCAAACAAGCAGTAAAGGAGGGAACAAACACCATTAATTGCTCACATATGTCTCACCTACAATGACTACAAAGTAAACTACTTGTGTTCTACAACCAACCATGTAAACATTAAATGCAAACTAATCTGTACATTTACATAGGGAGTTTGAAATAACTTCTACCTGAAAAAAACGGTTCCAAACATCTTCCTCCGCATCTACATAGAACTTCGTCGCGTCCCAACCGAATCCACTTTGTTGGCGCATCATAACAGTCGAATGGTACCAATGTTTTAGTTTTCTCACCCTATTTTTAATAGACCCCTTTGCCCTCAGCCCACAACCTGTGGCCAATTTTTCCATCATCCGCTCGATTTCCTTGAACACACCATTCTTGCAAGTGCCATCTTCAATCTGCCCCTTGTCTGTTAACTCCAACAAGCACTGCAGAAATGGGCCATCATGATTGGAATCCCAAAAGTTGTATGTTCGAGGAGCATCATTCGCATTTCTTCTCTTCCCCATGCCTGTGACAATTAATACTTGCAGATTCACAATTAAAACAAACCAAACTGATTCATATTAAGAGGCCACAAAAGGGGCAGAAAAGAGGCAAAGCTAAAAGCAGAACCATCATTCTTGGTTTCGAGTACACGCATAAAAAGATGCCAAAAGACAAACTCATTACATAACCTGCATAATTGGGCATTGAGTACAGGCATTAACAAATGCCAAGCTACAAAATGGATACATTAATGGTTTCAAGTACAACCATTCTAGTGTCGTAGAAAAAAAAAGTCTATGGTTAAGACCTATTCTCCCACATGAAAACAGCCTTGTCATTCCTAAATTGGGTCCATAACGGACATGGTTGTATGCTTGATCCCTCAATCGTCTCAACTTGAGTAGTTTCATATTGTTCTGGTTCTTCGTCTTGGTAAGTTATCTCACTCGAATCAGCCCCTACCTCCCTCTTGATATAATTATGGATAATGCAACATGCTACAACAATACGGGTCATATCATGTGGAGTGAACCAAGATGACCCCCTCAGAATTGACCATCTCATTTTCATGATGCCAAAAATACACTCTATGACATTCCTAGCCGAAGCATGCTTCATATTGTAATACTCCTCAGCTGTTTCAGGACGATTTGCCCCCCCATTCTTTGAGATGATAACGTTGCCCACGATATGGGGTTAAAAATCCAGGGCTACTTGCATACCCAGCATCACATAGATAATAATATCCCGCTGGAACAGTAAGACCATTTTGTCTACTAAGGGCATCGCGTAGCACCCTCCCATCATGGGCAGAACCCTCCCATCCAAACAAACAATAAATGAATTCAAGGTTGGGTGTGCAAACACCCAACACATTAATGGAAAGATGACCCTTTCTATCTCGATATCTAGTCCGATGCTCTTTCAATGGTCGGACATCAATATGAGTCCCATCTAAAGCTCCAAGACATTTCTAACAAGACAAAGGAAAACAAATTTACGGAGTTATTATAAAAACAATGGCAGCAATGAATTAGATAAAGAATTGAGGGTTTAACTTAGATAAAGAATTGAGGGTTTAACCTTAAAATGTTTCCATCTACTGTTGGTACAATTATCAGGAATGGGCATCGGCTTCTTCATCAGCATGTTGTTTAGTCTAAGAACAGCTTTCAATACGCGATGAATTGACCGAGATATGGTCTCTCCAGAACGTCGCAAGTTAAGTCTTAAAGTCCTATTTTTCTCATTCTGTGAAATGGTTCGTAGAAAGGTGTAAACCATCTCGTCTATATCCACATTCCTAGTTGGTTTCAGCCCTCCTTCCGCAACAAGAAGTTGACAGAAATTTTGAAATAGTGTGCGGCTCATCCTAACTTGATCGAATGTATCGATGTCTGACATTCTGGTTGCATTTCTAAGGTGTCTATTTCTATCATAATGCCTCTCTAGGTAGGTGTCCATTGGTTGCCTAGCAAGTCTTGGTCTGCGGTTTTCATTTTCTAAAAGGTTAGCTAGCTTGATGCCTAAACTAACATAAATGATAATAAGATTGAAGAACGACCCGATAGCTGCAACCACTTGGCGCCTACGAGCTGGAGCTAAACTTGATAGTCAAGACATCCTTAAAAATACAGTGCAATACAAATTAGTGATTAGTATAACAGTTAGATATAAATTTTATTTTTGTGAAATCATTGTTGATTTTCATTAAAGAACAAATACAACCAACTTGCTTATGTAAAGGGGGAAACAACCACCAAACACACAGTGATAGCTTTGCTGGTGGTGTACCACTGGAACAAAAGGATGGGTAGATAGAAGGAAGTAATTATATTGTACGTGCAAGAATGAGTTGAGTTGTCGAGGGAACAAGGTGCAGTGTAGGGAAGCAAGAGGGGAATGCAGGGTTGACCGGAGATACACCACTCTCTGTTTATCTGTACCCTCACCTCACCTCGTGATGATCCCAATCTCTCTATCTCTATGTGTGTTAACTTAAAGGCATATATATATATATATATAACATATGTATAACTCTATGACAGTAGCAGTGGTGGGTGTGCAAGCTAAGTGCAATAGTACCCATAAAAAAATCACCAGATACCTTTGTATGGGCACAACTACTGTAACCATGCACACAAACCACAAAAGTAGAAATATTTAATGGGAATCACTACCCTACAACAGTTTAAGGATACGCCAACAAAAGCATGTGAAGAGTGAAAGTTGAGCAGCCGAAGAGATTAATCGACAAAAACCCTTTTCAAAGGATGAGAACCCTAATTAACACAAGTAGGATAAGAGGTAATTACCTGGCCTAGAGATAGCGTTGCTTGCTCTTTCAATCAAGTCACCGTCGCTCGAATCATAAGCTTCTTCTCCACTTTCGATCGGCAGCTCAACCCTAAAGTTCAGAACAACAGAGAAGGAAATGAGAAGAAAAGTGAAGACGATAGGAAAAGGTGAATGGACCAGGGGCACGAATGGGTTTACAAAGAAAGGATAGGGACTGGATGGAAAAAAAAAAGGAATAAATGCGGCAATTGAATTGTCTCCCCCCCCCCCCCCCCCCCCACCAAGTATTTCTAATTGCTCCAAAATGAGCCAATCTTGAATTGACCCGGGCCCAATTACACCATTCATTTTTTGTGCTGCCAAATGAGCTAATGTGACCCAAATGCTTCATTTTGAGCCAATTGAGCCCAATTGACTCACTAGATTATACCATCCAAACGACCCCTGACTTGATTGTCAGAGCTTAACCCGGGGCATCTTCGACTTTCCACAGGTTCTTTCCCTCCCAACGAATCAGACGGGCAGATTGCGAGTCAAGTCCCACTACAATAAATTATTGTTCAAATGCGGTGCTAGACGGTACAAACAGAAGGGAAAATTGTTTTCACTCAAAATATAGCAAAATATATATTATCGTGTAGATTATAATTCAATCTTTCTTTCTATGTGAATATTTAGATGATGTATTTAATCAATACATGTAATCAGAAGAATTCATCATTTTTTTGGTCTAAAGCTTAATCAAAATACTTGTATTTGAACTATAGACGGGACCACCAGAATCATTCATTATGAATGAATGATTGTCAATCTAACCTTTTAACAGAGATTGTGTTTGAGGGATTGTTAGCTCACTTCTTTTTCCTTATTTCTCGAGGAACCACCAAAATCATTCAATTTCTAAACAATTTATTTTTCTAATTCATACAATGAAACATGCATCTAATTATAATACATATATTGATTAAATACGTCAATTTAAGGAATCCTAAATTCCAAAATGCCCTTAGATAAAAAAATAAAGGCATTTTGTGAAACCCGAACTATCAAGAAACTGAGACAAAATTTTTTTGTACTCTATTCGCTTTCATAGTTATCAACTTGAGACAAATCCATAATTTATCAATGGTTATTTCTACTTTTCAATCTCTCACAAATTTTCAGGACCATCTCTATTTTGTTTTTAACTTGGATTCATAATCTTTTACGAAGAAAAATCAAATTTTTGTTGCTAAAATTGATGAGATCCATTTGATATAGTTTTGTGTGAAATCAATAAATTTTAGAAACTACCATAGGAATTAACTAATAAAATTATAAAAATAAGAGCTAATACCACTAGGAACCCGAACTATCAAGAAACTGTCACTTGTGTCCCAAATTATTCAATATGATATTTATGTCCTGGACTATTTTTCCGTTAGGGTTGACCGAGTTTGACCCTCAATATTTAACAAAAAATTCAGTCAATGTCGAAGTGGAATCTTATATTGAATTTTAAATATTAATTTTCTTTATATTTTCAGCTAAAATTATTAAAATAATAAAAATAAAAAGTGACAAAACTCCCTAAATCATCTTAATCGCTCCGTCGATTCCGCTCCTAAGTCAAGATCAAGTTGACTGCTGTCTGGTCAATCGTTATCTATAACGGTTAACGAAATCGTCAAAACAAAAAAAAACGACACACAACTATCATATGTTAGGACATAAATGGAATATTGAATAGTTTGAAACACAAATGATACTTTCTTGATAGTTCAGGTTTTCTAGTGGGATTATCCCTAAAAATAATAAGCAAAACAAGTGGTTCCATAGCTCTAAGTTAGGTGCATATCTAAGTCATTCCATAGCCCAAAGTACCCCAAAATCATACCCACAGTTAACCATATTCTCAAACCAACTAAGGTTGATTTCACAAGAAGATGTAGATTTAGGTCAAAATTCCCACTTTTGATTGCTTGAAGACATAGTGTGGTATCCAAATATCTAGCAAACTCAAAAGATTGAGGAAAAATTGAAGTTTGAGAAGTTGGGTGAAAATGGGTGGTAAGAAATAGGTGTTTGAAGGTGAAATTTTGGGGTGAAGGAGTGAAATTGGTAGCTGGTCGCGACCTGACTTAAAAGGGCCGCATACTAGATCGTGGTCAACGACATCGTGTTCGAGGTCGCGAACTTGTCATGTAAATTTTGATCTTGCACCAATGAAAGAAGATCGTGATGCGATTCTCCTTGTCACCGCTGCCTGCATGGACACCCATTCCCGACAAGGGATTAGGAGGGAGGCGACCGGGAATAAGAATCCGCAACTGAGGACGCTGAATGTGAATTCCCTGACCAGGTTGACTAAATTCCCCGACCGGGGAATTACGAGGAGGACCGGGGAATGGAAATAAATGTCCCCCGGTTAGTTGGGTTTAAAACCCTGATTGTGGACCTGAGACTGGAGATCGGAGCTGACGAGTAAAATTGCCTTTTGTGTTTAGGATTCTTTTCCTTTTTGGGGTTTTGTTTAGTTTTTGTTTCTCTAGTCTATATGAAGGCTTAAACACGAGTTTTAGGGAAATTTTTTAAGAATATCGATTTTATCTTGGTTCATTGAGCTTTAGCCTTGTAAATTTTCTATGTATCAATCAGGTTTTACCCTTGATTGTGGTCAAGATTCCCTTTAATTTATAGAGCCTTCTCTCAAGTGTGAGATTTCACTTCAATTCCACCTTATCCCTAGTTCTAAACCCAAACTCTTACCTGTGCGACTTTGATAACTATGCGCACCGCTTCCGTGTTTGTTTCAAGTGGTATCAGAGCTCCAATTCAACACATTGGCGAGAATGAATGCGAGAGGACCTCTTTCTTCTCATACAAGATCAAAAGGTCCCATAGAAAACCGCATTGAAAAGGAGGATTCTTTGTTAGAGGAAGAAATCCCTTACGATGAACAAACAATGGCGGAACAACATATTAATGCTTCAGAACTGTTGCAGACTATCTTGGCGCAATTGAACGTAACCTTCCAAATTGAATTCGACCAGATCAACATGAGGCGGGATGCTCTGACGCCACCAGCAACATGACTCATCCTGAGGGAAATTGATAGCAAGGCATTCCAACTAGAACCGACCAAGCCCTAGATGCAAGTATTTGTAACTTGGAGCAAAGGTTGATCACAACAGAGCATGATCGAGTGCGCCAAGAACACGAATTTTGTGAATACGGTGGAAGATTACAAAAGCAAGACATAAAGGTATAATTGTTGACTTACGAGGGATCACGTTTTCAGTTCCTTCGTTTCAAGGATCTGTCAATGCTTCTGCATACCTGGATTGGGATAGGAAGATCATCATGTTTTCCCATTGTGGCAATTACAGCGACCAAGAAAATGTGTCACGAGCCACATATGAATTCACTGATTATGCTACTATATGGTGGGAGCAGGTACAACTCAAGAGAAGATGGAATTTACAACCAAATTTGACAACGTGGACTGAATTGAGAGGGCCCATGAGAAAGAGGTTCATGCCAGGGTGCTATCAAAGAGAACTCTTTGATTCCTTGCGGGAATTCAACAAGGAGAACGATTTATTGAGTAGTATATCCGAGAGCTTCACCTGCTCTTGAGGAGGGCAGATGTGAGGGAAGATAAGGAAGCTATAATTTATCAATTTTTGCATGGTCTGAATCAGGAAATTAGGCACGAAGTTGAGCTTTGTCATTTTTTGGAGCTGGAGGAAGTGGTTCACCTAGCCATTAAGTTGGTAAAGTAGATGAGGGTCAGCTCTGGAAGAAGGTATCCACCTTCAACTAAACCAGTTGGAGAGAACGTGGGAGAGACCGCTATGAATCCTTCAGCCTAGAAGGAGTCAAGCCAGCAGATAGAAACACTTCTCATGTCACTCAAGCCAGGCTCGGAGGATCAAATGGAAGCATCCAATGCTTCAAATGCCTGGGTTGAGGTCATAAAGCAAACCAGTTCCCTAACAAGAATACTCTGGTTCTGCGAGATGGAGAATACTTTTCTTAGGAGGATTATGAAGAGAAGCCAATGGGGAAGGGAATCGATTGTGGTTGTAATG